CCATGTTATTTGGGCACCTTAATTTGGTCTGTAAGTCCTTCTATTCTGAGATTTCTAGGGTAGTAACTGGAGGCTACCATTTCATCAGGGTAATTTCCCACACAGCCATAATAACAAAATCAATGATATTTTAAACAGTGGTTAGAACCCTTTATTAATATTTTAACCAGTGGTTAGAAATAGTTTTGATATATATTATGTAAAAATTTTAGTTGAAAATTTAATAAAAAGTGGTTGTAGGATTAAACACACATATACACCACAGAATGACGTTGTACAAATATACGAATTATCAAATTATTTCATGAAATGGAAGGAGCTCTTTTACATACATATATATGTACGCACATACATACATGTACACGCATACATACATGCACACACACACGTACACACATACATACATGCACACACATACATGCATGCATGTACACACATGCATACATGTACGCACATACATGCACATACATACATGCATGTACACACATACATACACAAATATCTATACATTCCCAGATTTTGATTCTAGAAACTATGCAAACTATGAGACAAGAGGTGACTTTTTCAAGCAAGATAAATATAACAGATATTTATTGAAGGCCAACTATTTGCCAGCCCTAGAGTCAAAACCAATGCCAGTTTAACTTTGTTGACATAAACATGTTATTGGTATTGACTTGGTTTACACTTTTAGTTAAGGTTATTATGTATTGTAAAAAATGCATGAATTTTAATCATAGAACAAATTCAAGAAATGTACATTTGCCTTGTTTTAGTCAATATATGTGAAGAAATGTAAAATGCCTTTTACAACTTGTCATTGAAAAAAATGCTGACAAGATCCATTATATATGTTTGTAATATACTCTCAGATTATAAATCTAAATAGGTTTATTAATGTTTTCTAACTAGATTTTAATTGTTAAGGTCAACATTAAATGACTGTTGAGAATAATATTGCTAGCATATGAACTTGTCACTTGTTTCTACTTAAGCCTTTTTTTCTCCCATTAAGTACCAGCGCATTTAAGGTAACATGTACTTTTAAATATACTAAAAATAAAGTATGTTGCTGTGATAGTCAATATTGTATGTCAACTTGATTGGATTGAAGGATGAAAAGTATCGTTCCTGGATGTGCCTGTGAAAGTGTTGACAAAGGAGATTAACGTTTGAGTCAGGTGGACTGAGAGAGGCAGACCCATCCTCAATCTAGGTAGGCACCATCTAAACAGCTGCCAGCACAACTAGAATAAAGCAGGCAGAAAAACGAGCAAGGATTATACAGGCTTAGTCTTCCAGCCTTCATCTTTCTCCATTGCTTCCTGCCCTTGAACATCAGACTCCAAGTTCTTTCGGCTTTTGGACTCTTGGACCTACACAAGTGGTTTGCCAGGGGGCTCTCAGGCCTTTGGCCACAGACTGAAGCCTGCACTACTGTTGGCTTCCCTACTTCTGAGGTTTTGGGACTTGGGCTGATCCATCACTGGTTTCCTTGCTCCTTAGCTTGCAGACGGCCTGTTGTGGAACTTTACCTTGTGATCATTAGTCAATTCTCCTTATTAAACTCCCTTTCATATATATATATATATATGAAAGATATATATATATATATATATCTTATTAATTCTGTCTCCCTGGAGAACCCTGACTAATAAAGTTACTACTGTTCTTAATTCATGTCCAGCTTGAAACTAGACGTCTTTTCTCCTTCTTTACCATGAGTATGCTCTGACATTTCAGTTCAAAGTCACTCAACTCTATTAGAATCTGCCAGCTACTAGTTCCACTGTTTCAAACCTACAGCAATGGTCTTCCAGACTTTCGTCAGCTGCTTTATTCAAATAACTTATGTTGGTAGTAGGTATTGTTAGTAGCAATACCTATTGCAGTTTCATTGCAGAAACATAGGATGAGAAAGCAGAAATTCAAAAAAACTACTAAGTTTCCTCCCTGGTGATGACTAAAATTACCCTAAAGCAAACAAAATTGGACCAAGAAATACTGCCTGAGGGTCCATGGCTTCTTTCTTTATGAATTCTGTTTTACAAACATTGGAGAATGGCTGCCAATTTAAAGACACCAGAGGGTAGGGATGTGTATTCAAGATAGACTGAGTTCAAATCCTTGCTGGGTCAGTCAATTTCCATATGATCGTGGGCAAATCGCATAATCTTTTGGGCCTTTGCTTTTCCATTTGTAAAAGGGGGATAATAATAGTTTATATCTCATAGCATTGCTGTGAGGATTTAATGAGTTAACATTTGTGTTTAGCATAGCACTGGAGAAATGGCAGATTGGAGAAACGAGAGAAGTGCTAACGAACATTGCTGTGGTTCTGAAAAAGCAGCAACTTGAGGAGCTCTTGAAAACCTAAATAGTATTTAAGACCAAGAGTATTCATCTATTGTCAGGACCAGCAGAAAAAAATATGTGAGAAGCAACTTTGAAGTAATGCTGCATTTCAGCACACTTTACCCGAATGGAAATGTAGGTGACTCAAGCAGGCCATGTTTTCCAAAGAGCAAGGGATCAATTTGTTCTTGATGGGTGGTTTAAATCTTAAGAAAACCATAAATAAGGCAACAGTCATGGACTTTGAATACTAAGTCAGATTAAATAAGTTGCAACTTTTTCCATGTAATTGCAAAAGCTAGAAAACTTTCATTAGTAATTTATTTTAAAGACAATTGCCCAATTGACATTGTCTTTGAAAAAAAGATATTAAAAATTTATTAAACTATAATGTTATTGTTAATTATTTGAATTCAAGGAGATTATTATGGTAACTTCTATGAGGTTTAATTTTTACTTCTTTCTACATTGTAATTTTATTAGTTATCTTAAGGCAGTTTCAAATTATTTCATCAATCTTCATCTTTGCTTTTAATTTATGCAGTGGAATTTACTTGTTCATTGGTATGAGTAATTTTCAATATTTTGCCAAACAGCCTGTGGCAACTGAAAACACAAGTTGCATACATTATACATTAGACTTTTCTGTTTGAGCGCAATGCAAAAAAAAAAAAAAAAAAAAAAAAAAAAACAAACAAATTATGCTACAAACCCAACTTCATTGAACTGCAGGCACTCATAACTCATTAAAAATACTGTTAAAATATCTGTATTTATGAAAACAAATTTGACCTACATATTTGGGAGGCAAATAGTAGAGCCAAGCACATCTATGACTATAATAATTTTTAATTCTACTTTGTTGTAATTTATGTTTTTTATCTCCCCACTCTGACAAAATGCTTTATATATCATTCAGTTCATGTTATTCTACAGCCTACTATATTTGAAGCACAATAAATAGTTGTAGACCAATTTTCTTAATGTTATATACTCAGATTATACATTAACATTCACCCTACAAATAAACTTCCCATCAATTTCATAGTATTGTGAAAACTCTCTAGTAGCTCAGAACATTCTTGGTGGCCTCAACGTATTCAAAGTATGCAGTCAGATACTGATGTCCCTCAGTCCTGTGGACAACTAACAAAGCTGAAACCCACAAGCCAGTGAGCACCAGTTGAGAACAACTTTCTATAGGCTTCGTGGACAGCCCAAGAGAGAGAGGATCTGAGATGTGAGGATTCTCCTCTGGCAGTAGTGATATCTGATATTGAGCTCTGTTAGATGGTGCTAAGTGTGGCCTCTGAAGTTTCTTATTGTCTGAACACCTGCTTCCTTCACCGGTTGCAGAGAACACAGTGTCCATAAAGGAGCTGAAGGAGGCGCTAGAGGAGTTTACATTGCAGGAGTCCAAGAAGCTCTGCAGCAGTCCAAAACGAGGCTGGGCGCATGATCCACATGTTGATCCGTATTCTCTTGTCTTCACACATATGCATATCAGTCCTTCTGTGGCTGCTACATCCTTGTATGCGATCCAATCCAGCTGCAGTCTTGCTCTTCCAATGCATACTCATTTTGCAAATCAGAGCTTCGAATCGGTGCTACGAAAAATCTAACTGGTCTTGAAATTCATTGACACTATCACAAGAAAATTCAACATGACATTGTCATGAACAGAAATGGATGATTGCTTCATATTCTTAAATATAATTTCCAACTATGGCGAAATTTTGAATGGTTGTAAAAATTGTTTTTGCATGTTTATACCTCACTTATTTTGTTGAAGGAGACTATCTAGAGTTTGAAATAATTCACATCAAGAAGTCCATCAGTAATTATTTCAAATATAAAAGTGACATGAAAAAATTGAGTTAATGAAAACAAACTCAATTTTTTTCATAAAAAATATGAAATGATATGTGGAAGTCTATGAGCTTGTAAATTGAATAATTTCTGTTATTTTTGTTTGATATTTATCATAGTTATGTAATACAAAGAACACATGCTTAAATTTTAAACTAAATAAAACTGAGCTCCACTACTCGGGAGGCTGAGGCAGGAAAATTGCTTGGTAACCTGGGAGGCAGAGGTTGCAGTGGGCCGAGATCGCGCCATGCCACTGCACTCCAGCCTGGCGTCTGGCGACAGAGCAAGACAGTGTCTCAAAAAAACAAAACAAAACAAAAAAAAAAAAACAAAACAAAAAAAAAAACTTTGCTCCAGAAAGACATCTTTTTCTCTGAGCCATGACTCTGAAAGTTTGGAAAGCACCGTACAGTAGGGATTTTCAGTGAGTCACAGAATGCAAGGTTCTCCAAAGTACTTTCAAAACTGAGCGTGAGTGTGAGGCCTTTGCTACTGGCTTTCTGGCGTGCAGATCACTCAGCCTCAAGAACTCAGTTCCTTCCTCCAATGTAAAAAGCACTGCAAGAACAACATTTCACGGTTCCGTCAAATGGGACCATGCGTAATATTTCACACTGGGCTACACAATAGGCTGGTAAAGTGATCCGCAGAGAGGCTCATTGCTGTAAGTTCACTCCCTGTACCAACTGTCTTGCACAAAGCTGCCACCCTGTGTTTTCTTCCAACGTTTCCTCTGGGAGGACTTCAAAACTTCCTTCTTCCAGTCTGTGCAGGGGTCAAGGGGCCTGTCTAGAGTAGCCGCCCAGCATCCGGCTCCGAGAACCTTTTCCCTTTCCTCTGGGAGACCTGAATGGGCGCCAGCCCAGCCCTGGTCTCCAGGCTCTGCTGCGGAAGCTTCCCACCTGGTGCCCGGCGCTTGGGATGCCGCCGACGGGCTCGGTCCAGTGTCCCTGTGCCTTCTCTGCAGGTGTCCAACCAGGTAGAGGAGGAGGCCGGAGACTTGTGTTCCTGCAAGGCGGGGCCGGTGCTCCTCGTTGCGCTTGCGCTCGCCCTGCACGTTCTGCGCTCCAGGGCCTGGCAGGGACCAAAACAGGCCGGGGAGCAGTGACACCTGGGGCAGTCAGTCATCCAGGAGCCGCCGCCACCTGCCCCACCCCCAATCTCCTCGGGAGGTGTTTATCTTTGCCTGCGCTCCCGGCTCTTTCTCTTTCACTTTTCTTTTCGCCGGAGGTTGGGACTCCGGGTGGAAGGTGCCCGGGGGAATCCCAGCTGACGCGTTCACTGCCTTCGGAGTCCGGCGCCCTCGGGGAACTGGGTGTCCGCTCCCGCCCGGCTGCAGTGGCTGTCGCCCCCCAACCCTGCAGCCAGGACTCGATGGAGGTACAGAGCTCGGCTTCTCTGCTTTGGGAGGGGAGTGGTGGTGGTTAAAAGGACAATGGAATTTTCCCCGAAAGCCTACGCCCTGGGCCCCTCCCAGCTCCGGCGCTACCCTCTGGTCTACCCGAGTGGCTCGGCCGCCCCGCCCTCTCACGGGGAAAACTTAGCCGCAACTTCGATTTTTGATTTTTCCCCTAATGACACTTTACTCCTCTCCAAGACTCTCTTCGCCATCCTCCTGCTTCCGGAGGAGCGCAGATCGCTGGTCCCTTTGCCCCTGGCGTGCGGCTCCCCACTGAGCTGCACCCTTTCGGAGTTCCCGACTGCTGGCGAGCGCGAGGCAGGCCCCGCACCCTGCGCTCCCCTGGGAGGGTGAGGGACGCGCGTCAGGCTGCCCAAGCCAAACTGCCGGTTTCTGAGAAGAGGCGGTCCCGCAGCCCTGAGGGCTGAGTTCTGCACCCAGTCAAGCTCAGAAACGCCAAGAAAAGGTACTTCAGCTCCCCACTTCCTATCTGTCCCCTCTCAAACTCCCTGTGGGCCGGCCGGTGCAGATGTCTGCGTGCGCGTCTATTTCTACCTTTGCAAAATCGAATTATCGCCCTCTTCTTTGCTTGCACACGTCTTCTGGAAGAAAAATTTGCAGGAATGATCACTGCTTGACAGTCAGGCCTGGGTCTGTATTGGTTCCAACTCTGCGCAAGCCAGTTATCTCTTAGAGAACCGGTAGGGTGTCTGGAATGCCAAAGCAACTTGGAAAAAATGCGAGCGAATTTCACTGAAATAAAATCATTATTCATTGATTTTCATAAAATCATTATGAAAATCCAGCCAGTTTTTTCAAGTGTTATTGAGACTGCATGCTGCAAGGGCATACATATAGTTCATTTGATTTTATGTAATTCCATGCATTAAAAACTATGTTGACTTCAAAGAGTGTGTAAACTAAACCAAACTAATTCTTAAATGATGCTTACAACAGATTCTCAAATAGGATGAGTCAGCAATTTCAAAACGAAGTAAAGTGGTGGTCACCAGCTAATTTCTACTATATATCTTTAAACTACTTTATAATATTATGATACAGGTAGTGGCTAAGTGGTAGTCATCCTCATCTTGTCAGTATGGCGAAAGAGGCCATATTAGCTAGACTGAATTCTTGCTCCAGTATTACAGAATAAACTGGTGATTATGCATCCTGCCATGTAGAGGCTGCAAAGTGAACCATTCAATTGAAAGCATCAAGATGCAATACACTTTTGGAGGGCTGAGACGAGAGGATAGCTTGAGACTGGGAGTTCCAGGTTACAGTGAGCTATGATCTGTCACTGCACTCCAGCCTGTCAATATATATATAACAGGTTAAATTTTAAACGCCTGTTGTTGTTTTTGTGTTAAATAATGTGGTCAACAGAAGAAGGAGATACAAAGGAAGGAACATAAAGACATATAAAGGGAAGAACTGAAAACACAGCGCAAGCCATTTAGATTTAAAAAGAGAACGAAAAGCTAATTTACTTAAAGTTTAGAAGTATCAGAGTTCTTAAGGTTTGTTATGATTGTCTTAGCTTCGTGTCCATGTATTTCTGTTTTCTCACAGAATTTTAGTCAATCAGAAGAGCATCTCCTGAAGTATCACCTGCTTTGCAACAGTGACAGAGAAAGGTCAGTTGGCCATTGGTCTGGAACTTCTGATAGGCAGGGCGTTCCCATACTTTTAGTTTCACTGTTCCCTGCTGATTTGGAATGGCAACTCCAGAACATGACTGGAAGCTATAGTTCTGGTTGGAATTTTCGTGCAGGCTACCAGTGATTAAAATGATGCTCTTTTGTTTTAATCCATGAAATTAATGTTGCAAATATCAACCGCTATATTGCAAGATACAGTGTTTTCAATGAAATATATGTTTATAAATTTCTTTGGGGGATGGAGAAAAACAGTGGCTTAAAGTTTATTGAAATCAAGTTTGGAAGTAGAGGGTTTTAAAGCTTAGGAGGTACCTCATCTCCTAGGCTTCATCTTAGATTTGGTGCCTCTGATGGATTTCTGGATAGCTAGAAAAGGAGCCCTGAAATGCTGGGTATATGTGGATGTTTCTCAGAAAAATATCCATAACTTTGATTAGCTTTTTAAATGGGTCTCTGACCCAAAACAGTTTTTAACCTTTTAAAAATATAGACTACTGTCCTTTTCCCCCAACCTCTCCTGGAGTTTAATGTTGAGTTCTGCTCATTGTGTTAACTATTTTTCTGAAGGTTAGCTAATGATAATACAGAGTTCTGTCTTCATACCCATAACTTAAATTATGAGAAACAGTATGAATAATAGCTAACATTGTTGAGTTCTTATTATGGATCAGACATTGTTCTAGGGATGTATTTTTAAAAATCATCATAATAAGCTTATGTGGTAGGGAATATATTTTACAGCTGAGGAAATTGAAGTATAGAGTAATTAAATAGCTTTCTCAAGGTCACAGAGCTAGAAAGTGGCAGAGCTGGAATTCCAACTCAGACAAGTTTAAGATTGCTGTTATTTAAGGAGGATGATATTATTTGCATAAAAATATTTCCTACGATTTGACAGTGATCATTAGTCTTTATTTATTTTCAGGCAGTGTCGTAATGGTAAAATGTTGGTTTTAAAGGAATGTTTCTATGGTACTTGTGCAATTGACATTATTATGTATTTAAAGATTATCTTTATAATCAATATTCATTTGATTAGCTATATGTGTTTGGTTCACTGGAGAAATTTTTTAATAGTCCCTGAATGAAAACATTTGTCTAAGTTGCATCACTTTCTGCTGGAAGAGCTTGACAATGTGGATTGATCTGGATATCTGTCTCTTCTATCTATCTCTTCATCTATCCATACAACTAGAAGGCTGGGATTCATGGAGAGCTCAGAGAAGACTTTCTCATAATACCACAAGTGGAGATGATGTAGTTAACTAATTGGGATGTCCTCTTTTCAGGCGGTGTTATGGTAGAAGGGTTGGCAAGAAGCCACTTCTTTAGCTCAGTATTAGCTCTTTGATTTACTTACCCAGTGATTATAGTAACTGCATGAAACTATCGACATTGAGCAATGCTTAAATACTTGCTGCTGTCCTATAGGAATGGGTTGGATGGAAAAATTCCCTAGGGGAGTTGACGGAAAAATTGTGATTTTAGGGAGAACTGGAATGCATTAGCTAACACCTATTTGATGGTGAATTTCACTAATTAAATACTATCAAGTATATGTATGTATGTGTGCATAATGCATATATGTGTATACATACTGTATATGTGCATATATGTACGTGTGTGTATGTATATATTGCACCATTTGTTGACAGCTGTGGGCAGACATAAAAGCTACTTTTTACTCTGCTTCCAGACTGTATTGATTAGGTAAACATAAGTAACTAAGAAATCTTGACAGAGAGCCTGAATTACTGTTATTAGCAGTGCCATTCCAGTAGGAACCCAATGTGAATTTGAAAGTTACAAAAAGGAAGCCTCTGCTATGTTTCAGGAAACATACTGGCACTTCATCTGTATGTCCTCATTGAATTTGAATAACTATTGCATTTTTATCGTGACTTCACAAAGAAAAAAAAATGGCATGCAGTGTTTCACTTGCATTAGGACACAGCTAGGTAAGACAGACACTCTACTGAGATTTAACTTGATTCCAATGTTAATGTCCTTTTTCAGATATCATATGTATTCTCTTCTAGGAAAACTCAGGTGTTCAGTGTAATGAAAAATAAAATGTCGCTATCCTGGCCTTGAAATAGATGCTGGTCACCGTTTGATGTGATTTAATACTATTTAGTACTTTGCCCATATCAAAGAATATTGCCCTTTTTTTAAAAAAAAAGTTTATTGCTAGAATCAGAAAGAGGAGAAAAAGAAGCTCTTTGATCTCAGTTCAATTCAGTAATATTATTTGTACACATTTAACATCTAGAGCCAGGGTATTTGTATGCACTTGTTTTATGGTGTTTCATTCCACTCCAGGGGCAGAGGACTCAATGTAGACCATACAAAAATGGATTTTTTTTAAAGTCTGCTTGTAATACACACATGTTTCCTCTCTAAATGCTAATGGTTCTTCCAAGTACTGACAGGATGCAGACAAGATTAGGAAAGTGACAAATTATTTTGTGAAATGAGGGAATTGAAACTGAAAATGGTTCTAGAATAAGAAAATATGATGGTTGTAAGGTTTGTAGAGGTGGTGGTGGGGGTAAGCTCTGCTTATCACTGTGACACACAAAAGGAGCCCAGAGAGGTCTTGGGTCCCTTATTATCACTGAATACTTCTGCTTCCTGGGTATTCTGCTCACGTGCCTTCTAATTGAAATCTGACAAAGTAGTCCTTGCATGCTGTTAGCACTGACCTTTAAAATTATCAAATAATTATTTCTTAATTTAACATTTTACAGTTAAATATTTCATATTTTGGAGTTATTTGCTCTCCTGACTCATCTGCAACAGAAATAAGCACATAAAGCTTGATTTTTTAATTGAAGGGTTTTTATTGTGAAAATTCTTGCTTATGTTATTTAAAATACTATCATTACAAAACTAATCAAAGGAATCATTCGTTTTTGATAAGTGATTATTAAGCATACAAATAAAACAATATTGGAAATATATATCATGCAAGTAGATATGTCAATGCTTTTTTTAAAGATGTCTCCTATATAAAATTATCCCTTTATTTGGCACCCTGGTGAGGCAAGGCACATGCTAAGATTCTGGATGAAGAGACATAGGCATTTTTTTTCCTAAAGTGGGAGAATGGTAATTATGAAAGAGGAAGTGAGAAAGGAGAACTTGCCAGAAATCTGCTTGCTTTGGGCACATATCAGGCATATCTCTGGTAAAAAGGGGCTTCTCTGGAGGTAATGGATCTTGAAATTGGTTCCTTTAGAAACCTCTTATACCCACAAACCCCTGGAAAAGTTGTAGGGTATGCCAGAGGTGCGTGTTGTTCAGTTGGGAGATACAGTTCAGCCTTCTTTCCCACACCCTCCCTTTGGCTTCTGGATTACCATGCTTACTGTGCTTAAAGCAAAGTACAGGGGGCGGGATGGGGAGCAGTAAAGAGCCTGGGCTGGCTTCTGTAGAGATTTCCCACAGGGGACTGGTGGAAAATAAGCTCTAATAGGGTTTGGAAAACCTCTGCAGTGAAGTCTCCTCTTCCAGCCTCAGCTCCAGTCACCCTGCCCCAGTGTTCCAGACACACTTGCCCTTCTTTGTCAGTCTTCATATTTCTGCTCAAAATGCTAACCCTCCATAACTTTTTCTATCCCCACCTACTGCCCAGGCAGAATTATTTTCTCCCTTACATGAATTAATTTGGTGCAGTCTACATTCTCCTGTAACAACTTTTATGCCTGTAAATTCATTTTATATGTGTCTGTCTCTATACATATATTGTAAGGACAATGTGCTTCATGTGCTTAGCAGAGGGTTGGTCAGAGTCTATTTG